TTTCAAATTATTGCAAAACGGCCCTTCGCTTGGTGCTGCCTCTACTTGTGATGATTAATTCGTCGGGGTGACATGCGCCCATGTGTACACTGAGTTTGGTTGTGTTTGTCTTGTTTTGCCCCCCCCCCCCCCAGCCCCAAAATGAATTACCAAAATTCATACACATGAACAAGAGATCGAATGCTACGGAGCCCCATACACAATGGTATTTAGTAATGACTTTCGCAATGGAGACACTGAATACGTAATTTGTGCTGGTTTGGTGTGGTTAAACTTGGGTGCAGTAATTTATTTCAAAAAGTGTCATTACTTCTTCGACACACATGCATGTCGGTCTCGTAACTCTTCTGAGTTTTGCACACTTTCAAATTTATGCGAACTCAAAGTCGACCTTTACCTCCATGCTACGTCATCCCGTATACTCAGCATCAATAGTTGACGCGTGGTTATCCAAAACGTGCCAAATTTCAAACCTCCCAATTGCAAACCCGGCTTGAAGGATTGACAGAACTTCGCGAGACATTTTATTTTTCTTATTTGTATTCTTTTATTAAGTGTGTTTTTTTTTCGGTGACAAAAGTGGACCAACACGTGTCAAAATTCTCGCCACTTGAAATTCATTTGTTGATGCCCTGTCGGACGGACCGCCCATTGCCAAGTGATTCCGGACAAAGAAATGGAGAATTAATGACCCCATAATGATGAAGGGGTTGCCCTTTGTGTCCATTGTCTCGGTGGTGCTACCGTCCCGTCTGAGCCGAGCTGTAAACCGAGGGGCGGAACACCTCCCGTGGCCCGTTGCCTAGTTGAAAACACCGGTGTGTGGCATGCTGTTTATTTGTTAAGGTTTTTGCATATTGCCGAATTTTTGTGTCTAGTCTGTTTTGGTTTTAGGAGTACGCAGAAGCTGTAAGTGTCAAGACAGTCCTACAGGTTTGGTGCAACGCACGCATGACCACTGCGAGCCAGAATGAAACAATGAAAACGGTAGAATGTGCGTCCATCATTTATAATTTGTGCATTTTGTTCGTTTGAAGCAACAATAGTGCTCAACATGTAAAGAAGGGTGCTGAACAACTAACCTGATGAAGTTTCAGCTCAGTGAATACTGTGTTTCGAGAAAACAATATTCTCGATCTCAAATCAAAAGTTGCTGAGTCATGTTTTGAATTGGGCCTGAATTCAGCGCCCGAGACACGCACTGAGCCGATTGCAGCTACGCGATGTCGCGCACTAATCCGACGAATTATAGCAACCGCGCGCGCGTGTGCATCGTGCCAACGCTTGGGCGCTTCGCAGAATAAAAAAAAAGAACTATACGGAAATTTCCAACGATGCGTCTTTAGACGCATCGTTGCGTCTTTAGACGCACCGATGCGTCTTTAGACGCACCGTTGGAAAAGCCTTCTTTCGTTGATTCCTTCAAAATGACAACTTGCCAGAAAGAATAATTTCACAGATAGTTTAGTCCCATTACTGTCTTTAAACCAAGTATGCTTTTCAACAATAATTACGTCAGTTACTTTTTGGATAGCTGCAAATAACGGACTGTACCTTTAAGCGTTTTGTTTGGGGGAAAATATTTTAATTTGTTAATTTGGTATATCTATCACAATTGTCAAGATGAAGTGTTCACAGACCAATTGAAATTAATGGTATACTAATCATGTGAAGTCAACAGCGCACATGCTTCAAAGAATGGGAACAAAATGACTAATTCTAACCTAACAGCTTTACGAGCACGACCGGTTGGTTACATGTCTTTCTTATGTCGCAATTTGAAGCGCACAATGTTCAAAAAGTGCGTCTTACTAACCACTCCCCCACTTTAAAAAGTCGTAATGGTAAGCTACTGAAAAGTGGAAATGAAAATGGCATAAAAACATGCTTCAGTGCATCCAACCCTTGCAAAATATTAAGAATTTTAAAGAACATTTGATTTGAATTGTTACCAATTTAAGTAAAAGGCGCAAAAGCAAATCGTACCATTATCACAACGTCGACATTGCAGGTAGAAGTTCATGTAAACTACAGACCTACACAGACAGAAGAATTTACCAAAATTGAAAAAAATGACCAAAGTAAAATAAAAGGTTTGTATTGTTTCAAAAATTTGGCGTGATGTTTTTTTTCTTGCAAATCAAGTTAAAGATAACATTTTTGTGAAATGAATATTCGGTGAAAAAAAAGGTGTAATCACGGATTTCATTCTGGTTCATCATCTTTGTACCTGTCCCTAAAATTTGTGCCAAGACAAATCCCCGAAGTTAACAGTCAAAGACTTTCCTATTTCCTTTGTAATTCTTTATAAACTCGACAAATGCCTAAACGTGCACTGGTCATATCAACTCACCAGCAATGAGATGACGGCCGATATGCCGTTTCTACAAATCACGACCAGTTTACATCAGTACGGTTAATATTTGTACACAGACACAGTGCAATAACGTCTTTGCTGCAGCGTATCATATCCATACCACAACAAACCGTGCAGTGTGCATATCGGGGCCGCCATTCCAGCTCATGTTTTTACTGCCTAATGTTGCGTGATAATTACATCAAACAACACCAAAACTAATCTCGTTAGGATTTAAATACGCGTGACACCTTCGCCTAATGGGGCAGTATATGGTCTGTGTGCCCCCGAGCGAGCCAGCGTGCCGTGCGCACCCGTGGCCCCAGCGGGAGGAAACGAGCGTGAGCCGGGCGGTGGTTTTGGGCTTGTTCCGCCTCGAGCGACTGCCGGCATGACCGATCGCTGGAGAGGTCCAAAGTCGCAGGCCTGGCATAAATAATCGGAAAGCTCAACATTCATCATGAAAAAAAAACACACCCCAGATTTTATTGTTTTTTGGTATTTTTTGGAAACCATACTAGCTCGATCTTTTCACGAATCGATTGTGTACATTCGTGCAGAAGGGTCTTATTGACACATTCACTCAGACTGCATGATCGCAGGACAGATTGGAGCGTTTGTTTTTACTACAACTGTGGGTTAAAATTAAGTTAGAAAAAAAACGAAAAAATTGAATGGTAAATAAACTTCAACAAAACCAATCCAGTTAAATGTGGTTTCTGTTAATGACATGTGATAAATTGCCTGAAACTAACTCAAATGGCTGGTATAAAATTGAATTATGAAACTGAATCATGACAAAAACCAAGTTTTCCATAATGTCGCATCCATATTCTAACAAAATTAATGCATGTAGGCATCATTTAATTGAATAAGTAAGATTTTATCTCGTGCTTCATCTGTTCCTCCCATTATCAACTTATTCTTTCGCCGTTTACACATTTTTTTTGTTTAACAGAGTTAGCCTAAAGTTTACATTATGTTGATTGTTTTTGTCCATGTCGGATTCGGGCTCGAATATAAAGCTCTATAAAGATCGTTGCCTAAAATCATTGTCTATACAAATCACTATTGCCCAGTAAGCATTGGTAAGAAGTGTTATCATATGGTCAAAACAGCCTGGAATTCAACAAAAGCAATACATATTCTATGCAATTAAGGTACAAAACTATAATTAGGTACTTTTTTAATAAATATCTAACAACTATGCTATTCCGACTTGAACCGTATCGCTTCCAGTTATTCGAAACGAACAACATTAACATTCAATCAGTTCAAGATAAGATGAATAAATCCTGGGGCATGTCCACCATCTGTTTTCTTGTATGAAAGTTATTCGTGTTAAAATTTCTGTAAACTAGCCGTAAACCTACTTAACAAGCCTGCTATCTCATTTTGTGAGATTCGCTCCATTAATTTCCCATGAATGACTTACAACTCATAATTCTGATAAACGTGGCTTTCGTTCCCTTATATTACCGTTTTTATTGTTTTTTATTCGAACGAGTGTCCTTCTGCGTTGTCCAAACGTGCTTCGCCTCTCAATCATCGACGACTGGCTTCTAGGCGAAGCTTCTCCGTGTATACCTGCAAGTATTTACCCATAGCCCTGCCGACTCGATACCCGCAACATTTGCCCAATCCATATGAAACTAGGCTAATTATTTGACCAGTCAACGAAAGCTAAGGGCAGGGCAAGCCAAAAATAAACAACACAAATTCACAAACTGGCTAATTCACACCGTTTATTTTAATATTCTATTTCCCCCTCTACATTGGAGCATTTTTCAGACAAGTTTAAATTTTGTTTTGGATGTTTGCATTCCTCATGTAGGCCGCCATTGTTCTCCACGCACTTTGAACTTGGTGTTACTTTCGCAGTATGTTTCTATTGCGGGGTTCCTGTTCTCCGAAATAGGCAATTATCAATCCAATCGCATTTTGAGTTTGTATTCCATGTGGTTAAATAGTCTCATTAATCATTTATAGCTCAGAATAGCAGCCGGCATCTGAATATCGCACAATGTACCCGGAACTGGACAGTACCCAAATATTGTTGATACGTTCATTATGCTTTATAGGACTACTTGAATTCTAACATGATGTTACACGAGAAGGCAGTTATAAAAGGAATACTTCACTTTATGTATGTGGTTGAAACAGGCAGCATGTACAAAGAGACAAGACATCTGGAGCAGGTTTCAAGAAGCAGTAGGCCTATAGTGTCGGGTTGTTGAACGAACATTATTTCAAAAACAAACAGAGAGATTTTAAACGAAATTTTAACGACGTGATATGGTACACGTCCCAATCTTGGTGAATATGATGAACGTGGTGAAATAAAATGCCTCATTAAAAAGAAGAACTATCGTTGTGATTTCAAAAGCTTGCCATTCTTGTTTTATACATCATGATTGTGTCAAAATAAATTTCACAAACATCTTTAAAGAGTGTCCCTCCCTAGAAAGCAGACAAATTAAGAAGAAATTGATGGAGTTTACGTTCATTTCGGATTAGTATAGCCTACCACAAAATTTGTCGTTTTAGTGTCACGTTAGAGCGATAATCACAGTATCATTAAAACTAACTTACACACAGAATCAAATCTCGGACAAAACTAAAAATGAAAAGCGCTACACACCAATTCTGTATAAGTTATTTTGAACAATATTTGATTTATTTACTCTCTATTCTTACATTCTGTATCGATGAAGTGTGGTTAGTATACAAACAGTAACTTTTCATGGAGTTTAGAAAAAAACACAAAGACAAACATGAGGACAACTGATAGATTTGTAAAAATTAGACTGAAATGCTTACATTTAAATAATATGCTTTCAAGTTTTGTATTTCAGGTTCGCAAACAGAAATAAATAGGTTTATGTAGATAGGTACAACAGAGCTCATGATATGATACACCGTTCAATGTCAACATGTTTCAAAGCTATACAACTTTGAGTCTTCATAAAATGTATGATGGAGTGTATTCAGACGTAAATGATAAATCAAGCGACTTTCACACCCGCGACGCCCTGCGTTTAAATGTTTAGGGCTACGATCTTATCACATTCTCAAAAAGTGTGTTTAGAAAAACAAACATTGTGAAACCGAATGAACCGACAGCGTATATATAATACTTTTTAGTTCGCTTCATAGCAAACAAAAATATAATACACAGACATTTGTACCATTTATCAAATTCAGACGAAAAAGAAATCACCTAAATGTTTAATAGCGTTCAGATAAGCCGTCTTCGGCTTTAATACTGCCTTTGTTTAAAGCCCATGTCGCCGTGATTTTTATTCGTCAGGCGCTTTGACACGACCATAGATTACATGAAATAAGTGGTAGACCAAAAAATAACCGAGTCTGACAAACTCCGTTATTTCCTTTAAGATAAAATTAATGTCAAGTAAAGGCGCATTTGTTTTAAATCTTCGTTAGCGCCGTGATAATGAATGAAGCAGATAAGAGATCCAACTGATTTTTTTAATGTAAATGATAAAAATAGGCTACATATTATATTTAACAAAATGATGGCCCTTTGAGATAAAATGTTAAGTTTAATCTTACAGGCAAATCGTTTTTCTGACTCCTGTCTTAGAGAATAACGTTTGATATGCGCATATTGAACACAAAAAGGATGTGTATTTAATTGAGGATTTTAAAAACCAACATGTCTTTCAGAGCTGTCTGGCAACTGACCCGGCTATTACCAGCACAACGGCCGATAACGAACAATAAACAAATTTGCCCAGGTGTAGGGTAAATTTGCCGAGTTCTTTGTGGGAGCAGTGAGGGCCAATTCATCCACCCATGTTGAGGGGAGAGACTGGGGCTACTAGTACAAGTCATCTTGACCTCAGATACATGCCAGTTGCCTCGTAGCGGGCAAAAAGGCACACACGAACGCAAGCACACGGAGCGAGAGACCCGCTGTACAAGCGGGCGGCAGCCGCAAAACAAACCCCGCAAACAATCGGCAGAGTGACTTACGGGCGCGACTGGTGAATCTAACAAAACATAACCAGTTTAACGGCTGAATGAAACTAAAATAGAAAAAAAAACCGCCATGCGTGATTTCTGAATTTGAGACAGAGCGTTCATGTGATAAATTATTAAAATGCGGCGTATATAGGAAATGCCAAATTGAATCGCCCAACGATTGAAAAAACGTAGAATATTCAAAATCGAAAAATTCCAGTTATAATGATAAGCGAAAAGTCACAAGTTCAGACATGTAGGCTAGACAAGCTTCAATATGAGGTCAAAATTCACTGTGATAGTGTGATTTTTGAACTGTAAACTTGCGGCGGGCGAAATCATACCTATGGTGAACATTAATTAAACGTAGGTCTATAGCCGCAAACTTTGAGCAAATTGGAATTGTCGATTGTTGCGTCGGCCACAGACCCCGAAAAGTACCTGTTTCTGGACTTTTCAACCGTTTTACACATGCAACGATTTAAATTTCACATTGGAACTTCCTGATTGATATGGTAAAGTTCTTCTAGCAGGTTTTCGCTTCGATAATTAAAACAATCGGTGTATAGTTAAACCCCTCCATTCCTTTCTGATCTTTGAGTTGTAAATCACAGCCAAAATTGCAGTATGGAGCACTTCCGATCAAACAGTAGCATTTTAAGCCCGAATCTTATGACTTTTAAGTAGGCCTACTTTTGGAGCTTTCTTTTTTTCACCACGTTTAATTTTGTGTCTTTTTCCACGGGTTTAAACCTATGTTTGAAAACATTCAAGAAAATAAGGACATTCAAAGGAAAACAAAAACAATTTGTTACTACATAAGTGAGCACGATTGGAGGCTTAGCTTATTTTTCTATAGTCTTGCTTCCGTTACATTTCCATTTTCGGTGCCGAACAACAGAAAATGTTGACAAAAATCCAAAAGGCCCTCTTCAAAAGTCTTGATAAAGTGATAAAAAATTCTTCTACTACGTCCAGTCTGGAGAAGCACCATTTCCCAGACATGGACCGACCGTCATAATTATAATACTGCTACTCATCTTCACTTGAATCTAAGACAATAACTCTAAAATCCTTTTTATACAACAACCACCCGCAGCTCAATTTAGAAATAACAAATTGGAAACAAAAGACAAGTTTACAAAAAAGTATAACAGATAACATGTGAAGCTTTGGGGCTGACAATGGAGAATGCAGACCCAAAGCGCGCAGACTGCGTTGCAGATATAGAAACCAAGACTCACCTCACTTGAGCAAAACTTTAAGCATCACCGATGTCTTTGATTTATTGAGGTCAAAGTTTTTTCATTTCCTCTCCTGCATTAAAAGTTTGCAAGTTTCACTGTTTTGGCCTATATGCAAATAAAAGTTTTGGCTAGTTAATAATTACAGTATATTTTGAGATGTCTCAACGCGTGGTATCACAACGTTCTGCTTGTTGTATTGTTTGTAATTCGACTAGCAGCATTATAGTAGTCGCCATGTTGGCGATCGATCTCGTCGTCGAGTTGTTAACACCTTCGGTGAAATTCATAACAGTTCAGGCTGAGTTTGTGTGTCAACCACTCTTTTTGCGGGATTTAAGGGCAGAGTCATTTTAAACTGCTCCTCATGAGGGATGATTGTCACCATGTTCTACCGTGCAGGAGGAATGGCGCTGCAGAGGACATGTTGGTGCCGTTCATGGAATGATACGGGTTGACTGCACCTGGCTGATGGTGAGGGGAATGGGAGGAAGTCACACCAGGCCCCGTGTTGATGCCCACACCGTGTCCACTGCAAGACGACGAGGAGTTCACCGGGACTGCCTTGTGAGCTGGCGGGGCCATGTGAGACTGCTGCACGGTGGTGGAGACATGGTGTGCCGTTACCTGGTGGGCGCCGGGCATGGAGCTGGCATGGTCGCTGCCCGTACTGTGAGCATCGTCCCCTAGCTGCGGGGACGCGCTGTCGTGGGCTGAACCACCGCTGGAGCTACCGTTAGACGATCCGTTACACGGCTTACCGTCTTTGACCAGGACAGGAACGGCCACACGCCTTGGGGACTGGTGACAGACGTTGTTGTTGTCCGCCATATTCTTCTCCTTGGTCTGTCGTTTCATCTTATATCGGTGGTTCTGGAACCAGATCTTGACCTGAGTCGGGGTCAGGTTAATGAGGCTTGCTAGGTGCTCCCGCTCGGGGGCAGACAAGTATTTCTGCTGCTTGAACCGCCTCTCCAGCTCGTAGACCTGGGCTTGAGAGAACAGCACCCGGCGCTTACGGCGTTGAGCCGACGGCAACATGGGCTTGGACAGGTCTCCTCCCAAGCCAGGCATACTCATGTTCATGTTCATGTTCATATTCATGTTCATATTCATGTTCATGTTCATCGGAGAGTTGGGATTCATCAGGCGAGAAACTGCAGAAAGCAAAACAGAAACAAGAAGGAAAAAACGGTTAAGTGGATGTCGGGAAGAATGAACTAAAACAAAGTTTGTATCAAATCAGAAGTGACCAATCACATTAGTGTGAAGTGATATCAATTTTAGTTTGAAAAGTCTGTATTTTTCATGCATTTGAACGATATGAAAAATAAAAAACGACACACTTTGAAAAGTCACGCAATAGTCCTACATTTATAGGCAAAAGTTCCGTTTCATTGATAAACATATTCTAATCAATCTCAGCTTATCAGAGAGGTGCCATGCATACAATTTTCTGTTTAAACTGAAGCACAACCTTTGAAACGTTAAGGTTAATGGCTTAAAAAAGGCTAGATTAAAATTAAGATTGAAATTCGGGAAACTGTGACATGAAAAACTATACGTAATAGACATAAAATCAGGTTTGAGAGAAAAAGATACGGCACATTAATATACAAACAGAAACATTTACAACAATTTTAAAGTAAAGTTATAAAAGGCACTGGACTATTCAATACATAAAAATCTCGCACACCAAATACAATCTATTTATGTTTATGGAAGTTGGGAAGGAAACATACGTGAGCAGAGATTGTTTTATTTATAAGTTAATCCACGAGGTTGTTTTGAAATTAACTGAATGAAAAGAAATTTTTGTAGTTGACTAAGGAGCGAACGACGAGTAGCCGGTACTAGAGTAGGGTGGGCGTGAGTAGAGATAAGTGATAAGAGTTGCACTTCTCATGCAATCTCTCAACTCTTCTGGTTGCCCTCGCAACCAAGTACTGGAGAGGAAACAAGCACCATCGTGGAAACACAGAGAGGAGGCTTCAGTGTCTCCACCCAAGTGCCATGGAGGGGCATCTTGGCACAAGTTGAGGGTTCACTTGGGGAGAGTGCCCCCGGAGGGATCGGTTTAGTAACGTTGACATATATCCTGAACTGGAGGGGGTAGCCCTACAAAGAGGCGTGCTGTTACGTTTAAAATCGGGAAAGGTAATTCCACTCGAGGGACTGAAAACTGAAAATGTCATTATGCGGGATCTTGTTTACTGATCACACCACGGAACACTCAATTGTCTGTGCTGCCTGAGTGGAAGAACTGTCGCACGCACGTTGTGATGCGTTAAAATTGTTACTGGTATTTTGTGGTAGTTGCGATGGTGGTGGGTAACTAATGGTGGTGGTTATACTTTAAATTATACTTACTTGAGAATCTTGGATCCGGGTTTGCCCCATACCAGCTGGAAGCCGACTGTCGGACGTGCTCGTTGTAGTGCGACAACTCCCCAACGGAGCCGTTGCAGTAGGTTGTCCCGAGTGGAGGGTGGGAGAGCTGGGGGACGTGCATGTGGTAGGGGTTGCTGACGGGAACATTCATCGAAGACTGCATGTTGTTGGAGTGCTGAGGGCTGCGGTATGTCGGCTGCATGGTAGTCATGAAGTTCCCACTGGGATCCAACATGGATTTCCTGTAGCCAAATTCCTCTAGTGGACTCAGGATGTCTGTGACCGAGAATGGAGTCGAATGCGTCTTGGGGCTCAATGACATGACTTGCCGGGCTCACGGAGATGGTGGTGCGGCGAGAGGGCTGGGCTCGGATCGACGAAACTCGACCACTCACTCCAGTGTCCCCCTGGTATAATGACAAATTGGTCGAGCGGATCAAAACGGTGGTCTCTTATGTTACCCCAAATCTCCTATGCCAATACGCGTGCGTCTGTGTGCCTATACGTGTACGTGTCGACAGGTGGGTTTTGAGTTCCCCCCGTCCTGCTCACTGAGTACAACTACAGCAGTGGACCAACCCACGGAAAGAGCGAGCGCACTGCATACTTGTAAAGAGCTATTTACTGTCACTGTATGCGCTGGCCGTGTGTAGCCTGTAGGGGTGCCTGGTGCTGAGGGGGTGGCGCTGCAGTGCTTAGGGCGATTCACCTCCACCGTACACACATAGCGTATTATCTCTTTCTAGCCTGTACATGGTACGCGTACGGTGCGGCGGCCAAGGGGGCGTCACTGCTCTAATGAGCACATATCAATGCCAATACGGTGACGCGTCGCACGTGACACCATTGGTGCTCCGAGGATGATGACATGATTGACACCATCAAATTGATTTACAAACGACGGACCGACGATGTGCGTGGTAAGCCTGCCTAGCCTGCGCGCTTCTGCAACTCCATCCCTGCACCAAAGCCCATCATTTACAACCGACACTTCAACAAAAACAAAACGAACAAAATGTGAGGGTACCTCGCTAGGAAATAATCATGAAACTCATTTACTCTCGGCCAGTCCAGTATAACTGCTTTTAAAGTGGTTGTAATTAACTTTGTTTATGTATATTTTGAAAGCTTCATCCGATGTTTAGGAATCATTGAGCTAGTACATAACGATCCCACACCGTATACTGACACCATCTACTTAAATATCCAAGCGAAGCTCACCGTTTTTTTTTTCAAGTTCGGTGCTTAGGCCTACATGCGTAGAGTACATAGATCTACCACACTCAATATCGTCATCATGTTTCAAGGGGATAGCCATTCCACTCACAAGTCCCGTTATTCGGCCCCGCTATTTTGTTCTCCCACTCTGTGGCGATATTGCCGACTCTCACGACAGTAAATATAACAGAATCCGTTGCGTTGAATAGCTGCAGCACTTGGGTCGAATCTAATCACACTCCACACGGTAAGGGTAATTCGGCCTACACTCGAGCAATGCGAATATTTACACTCGTGTGAGCTCAACGGTAGCTGTTTTTCACCCCTTTCTTGTGGGAAAATAAAATTCACATAGTTTTTTCGTTCCCTGAAGAGCACTTGTGATACTCTGAATAACGCTAGACGGAGTTGTATTTGCTGTGACAAAATATTATTGTATCAATCAGTATGAAATAAATACGACTCTTTTTTTTTTAGCCTTACAATCAGTCGTCTCTCTTCAAAGGCAAAATCTAGCTGACCTTTTCTGTAAACTGCAATAAATAATCAAAACTCTGTTGTTTATTTAGACAGCCCCATTCACCAACACTTCAACTTGACCCAGTCTGAGAATCATCCGAAACAACGTCTGATATAATGTGAGCATGCAAATATTTTTTAAATTATGACGTCATTCAAGTCGAGCAAAACTTATGTGAACCGAACTGTTGATTCGTCAATTTGGCTGCCATGTTTTTGTAATACAACAACGGGTTACCAGAGACCCGATATAGAAGGTGCCCTCTGAATGGTCAGAATCTGGAGGTCAAGACGTAGTCTTGTTTTGCAAAATGAATCGCCGGAACCGCGCGCATATCATAAACTCTTGCTGTGCGAGTGGACATTCCATAGACTACTACATTTCTCTTCCTGTGATGCAATTTCAAACCTTTCCCTGCACTTCCAATGTGGTACCAGCAAAACTGACTATCATTAGACCAACTTCCTTTAAAAGACTGATGATATCTTTTCCTGAAATATTTCAAAACTTCCCTGCACTTCCAATGTGCATTAGGCAATCTTCCCTTTACTTATGACGAAAAAAGGAAGTAGAATATTTTCGTCAACCACACCAGAAATTATGATTTTCTTTTAAAAATTGTTCTGCCAGCATTATTGGGCCTAGATACAAACACACACAGTCAATTTGAGAGTACATGTACTCCAGATGTATATAAAGCTTAAATCACAGTGTTTTCTTTCACCTGGAATGAACAGTAATAATATAATAAATATCCTACATTCCTGTTCTGTTCCTGATTTCCTTGACAGTTTATTTTCACACAAAAATAAAAATACACAAAAGGGCACTTTCTGTAAATTGTTGGGCTGTCCTGAGTGTCAAAACAAACCAATGTATCTTGTTTGCCGTTTGCAGTAACTGTTTTTTTTTTCAATATTACTTTCAATGTTTTCGCCAAAATTACAACAAATTTTTAATAACATTTTAGTGAAATTATGCACACCAACGAATGGTTTAAAATCTACATTCTCATATTGGGCTCATCGATTACTTCATATTATTATTTAATCATTTATTTTAAATCTGATAATTTAAAATTGAATCTAGCAAAAAGTGTAATTTTATGAAGCATCCTTTATATAATTTTTTTTTTGGGGGGGGGCTTCGCAGGTTCCGAGTAAGACACAGTCCGAGCTGCATGATAGACGAACCGTTAGCTATAAAACTAGCATTAATTCTGCATGTGTGGTTTTGAAAAGGGCCTCCGAAAGAACAGATACTGGCGTTATTTGTTAAAAGCCATAATATCTCCTGTACATCATGTGGAGTAATCAGTCGCTTCCGTATATTAATTTTTGTTGCATACCGGTATGCATTTGGTTTATTTTCGTCACTGATTGTCAATTTTATGTGGTAGAAAAGTGTCATTTTTTCTTCATCCCAGCCCCTTTTAATAAAGATCAATGAATAAACTAAATAAACACATAAATACGATATTCATTTTTGGTACGAAAACGTATGGAAAGATTTGTCCTTGCCAGCATATGCCCAACCGCGGTCGCAATGTGACCTAATAATGAGTCGTTTTCCCCCTGGTCGGCTTCCCCTGTGGACAATTATTGTCATCAGCCCACGATAACCCAAACCCTGGTACCACCAGTGATGCCATCGAAAAAATCATGGCCGAGGGAGTCGTTTCTATCCTAACCATTCGGCAAGACGTACCCCGCACGCGACTAATAACCGCACCATCAAGACGGTAATCTTATACACTTTTCATTCTAACTTTTCATCATTTTCCCTAACGGTGAAAAAATACTGAAATTAATAATACCTGAAAGAGGGACAGAGAGAGTGAGCGGAAGAAGGGCTAGACCGGTTGTCGGGTCAGATTTCGGCTGGAATTTCAGTCTTTTTCTATGCCAAACCTGCAGGGTTGGCCCCGAGTGTAGAAGTCGCATTGTCGGTGTGTTACCGGTGACTCTTATATATCACGGCCCTGGCGTGAGGGCGATGAGGACGGAGGGCGCGCGAGGCCGGTTTCCCCCCTCACTTCTTCGTCTAAAGCCGACCCGGCTATGCTCTCAGGCGAACTGGGGTTTGTAGGCGCTAGCAGGAAATGACAGGGTTTGCCGTTCGCTGGAGTCGGGCCTTGCTTGCTTCCGATCCCCATAGTCGACCGGCCGCGGGCTCGCCGATGCACGGGTAATGAGACGGGTCAGCTAACTGGCAAACGAGCGCGTTTCCTCCCTTCGCTAAACATAATCGCCACCCATTTTTATGGTGTTCACAGGTTCATCATAAATAAAACATAACGGCCTATTATACTTAATTATTGTAGTAAGGCACTGGTCCAGCTTTGTATATATAACTGGTCCAGCTTTGCGTTAAACCATATTATTATGTCGCGAGTTTCATGTTTTAAATCAATCAAACATGATCATTTTATAAAGGAATAAATGAGCACGATTGAAAACAAGTGTTTAAATTTGAGCTTGGTTTCTTATTTCTCTGTAACTAACCATCACGAAGAAATAAGTAATAATTATTGAAAATACTGGACTAATGCAATATGCATGAAATTGGTTTAAGAAAAGAGCACCATGCTCACATTTATTTTTAAATTTCGCGATAGATTTTATTAACTTATTTATTTCAAACCATATTTTAATGAGGGTAACCGCCCAGCAAAAGCTGATCATTTGGGGCCCTCACCATGGGCGTCGCGAGGGGGGGGGGGGGGGGGGGGGGGGGCAAGGGGAGGGCTTCCCCCCCCCCCGGAAAAGCAAAAAAAAAAAATAGATAAATGATAAATGATTCCTCTAGCAGAAACAGATACTCCTTTTGGAGAGGGCGGCAACACATGAGTTTCATTCTGAGTGCTATTTTTGACCCCCCCCCACCACGTCTATGAATTTGAGATGATTTCTCTATAATCATAACTGACAACCAGCTGAAGATAGTGACATCAGAATCCCCCATTTTGCTATTGTCCACTAGCCAACTTGGTTATCCAGTCTGGAGTTCAGTGTGTGGCCGGCTTCGCAACCGCAACCCTTTATCCCCAATGTTAAATACCCCGAGGTGGACGGAGAGTATGCCTACAAAATAGCGTAACACGGTGGCCGAGAGAGTGGCAGAGACCTTTAAGACTATTAACAAACAGTTCCTACAGGAAATTCCCTTCAATGGTAAATACACGGCAATTAAGAAGTCGAAAAGGTGTCAAAGAGAAAGCAGCGCAATTGATTTTCTTTTCTTCGCTTCTTTATTCTTGGATCTCATTCTTGGACATCACGCATGGGGACGTGTCCAGTGAATGGCGGCCAGTGTTTCTGTATGGATGTTAGCAATGCTGGCCGAGTTCCCCTTGTTGCTCTTCATAAAACTTGCTTCATTTTCTAGCTAATGATATAGAAACTAAACCAAACACACAAAAACTTCCCAAAAGAACGCTTATGTCAAAGAACTTTTCTGCGGTAAACACTGCGTAGCGGGACCAGAGGGCGGTTAGCCAACAACACAAGGTCTTGAGTCACTATTCAAAACGGAGGTCTTAACGCCACAATCACTTATTTGTTTAATCATTCGGCGCTTCTTTTCTGTCTCTTAAGCCCATTGAGACCAGGGTGACAAACATTGCACAGGTGTGCCATAAAGAAGAGGGGATCCTATCCGAGACCTGCTCTTCACGTACTTAACATTAGCCACACCATTCAGGGCAAGATCCACACGCCATTGTGGTGGGTTTTCGCGAGGTGTGAACCGGTCCGCCCTGCGCGGTCCACCGCTTTTAACTGGGCGCAATTACGTACATTAACTTCATTAGCGGGTCTACCCCGGATTTCGAGCCGGCTCACAGGCAGTTATTAAGCCTTGATTGACGGGTTTCTGGCAGCGTGATAGGCAGGGCACAGACGGTCAAGGCAAAGGCTTCTAACCTCCTTCGTTACGAATGAACTTGGGTGTTTCGGGAGGGTTGAGGAACTGCATGCAGCCAATTGCCCCGAAAAAAGTACGATTTCACGGGTCTG